AAATCACAGGCCTTTTAGATTTTCAATTCACATAAGACAGAGTAGCTCTACTAATGCTACTGGACTGTGATTTACACCAGTTGATGTTCTGCCCTTTACAAAATCTCATACACAGAATAATCATCCTAACAGCTATTTCTTTCTCTCTTACCAGATAGCTTCAAACACAAGATCTTTTCCTTTGTTCTTATAGCACTTTTTTTCTTCCCCTGACATTAAATGGTCATTTATATAGCAATCAATATGGTCATAACTTCAAAGAGCAAATATATAATTCATATAATCAGAGAAAAACTAAAACAGTTCCTTAACTGAGACAAATTTTAAACTGTCACAGCTATACCAAGAAAAGTCAATGATGATGCTTTCTCATAAGCCTCTTCCCCTATTGCAATGGCTTGCTAAGCCTGCACAGCTGCCGTGCTGCCTTCTCCAGCTTTTAGCTGCGCTGTAAGGATGAAGACCAACAGCTTTATAGATTCACAAGCACTATTAGAAGTGTAAGATGGGGGGGACTTTTTGCCAAGGAAAAACAAACTTGTGCACTACAAAACAGTGCTTTTTAGCATACTAAGCTGGTGAAGGGCCTGGAACACAAGTCCTGTGAGCAGTGGCTGAGGGAACTGGGGTTGTTTAGTCTGGAAAAGAGGAGGCTAAGGGTAGACCATATTGCTCTCTGTAACTACCTGAAAGGAAGGTGTGGGGAGCTGGGAGTCGGCCTCTTCTCTCAGATGAGTAGTGATGGGATCAGAGGGAATGGCTTCAAATTGTGCCATGGGAGGTTCAGGTTGGAAATTATAAAACATTTCTTCTCAGAAAGAGCAGTCAGGCATTGGAATGGGTTGCCTAGGAAGGTGGTGGTGTCACCGCCCCTGGGGTGTTCAAGGACATGTTGGACGTGGTGCTTAGGGAAATGGTTTAGTGGGTGACATTGGTGGTAGGGGGATGGTCGGACCAGATGATCTTGGAGGGCTTTTTCAACCTTAACGATTGTGATTTGTGTTTGCCTTTTCTTTCCAGTTGCAAACAATTAAATATATCGGTTTGGAATGGCTATGATCATGGTATTATAAGCTGCTGGTATCACTGTATCAGTATGATACTGTCCTTAGGCTATATAATTGCATCTCCCAGTAAGGCTAATGAGTTCAGGTAAGCAAACAATTTCACATGAGTATACTGGTTTTAAACTTGACTCATCTGAAGATAGAATGGATGGACAGAGTCTGTACAGCTCAGAGCTGTACATCATGTCTTACGTCTTCTATTCTTGGAGATCGTTTTTTTATTTCTGTCCCACCTGGGGAAATTGACAGTGAACATAATCATAGAATATCTTGACTTGGAAGACACCCACAAGGATCATCGAATCTAATTCCTGACTCCACAAAGAACTATGTAAAAATCAGACCATGTGTCTGAGAGCATTATGCAAACACTTGAACTCCAGCAAGCTTGGTGCCATGACCACTGCCTTGGGGAGCCTGTCCCAGTGCCCAACCACCCTCTGGGTGCAGAAACTTTTCCCAACACCCAGCCTGATCCTCCCCTGTCCCAGCTCCATGCCGTTCCCTCGGGTCCTGTTACTGTCCCCAGAGAGCAGAGCTCAGCGCCTGCCCCTCCACTCCCCTCGTGAGGGAGCTGCAGGCCGCCATGAGGCCCCCCCCCAAGCCTGCTCTGCTCGGAGCTCAACAAACCAAGGGTCCTCAGCCATTCCTCCTGTCTTGCCGTCTGGACCCTTCACCATCTTTGTAGCCTTCCTTTGGATACTCTCTAACAGTTGTATGACTCTTATTATATGGTGCCCAAAATTGCACACAGTATACTGAACATGATGCTGCATCAGTGCAGAGTAGAGCAGCACAATCACTTCCCTTGACTAGCTAGCAGTGCTGTGCTTGATGCACCTCAGGATGTGCTTGGCCCTCCCTGTCATTTACCAAATTCCTTTCTGCAGAGCTGCCCTTCAGCCTTTCGTCCCCCAGTCTGTACATACATCCAAGGTTGTCCCTTCCCAGGTGCAGAATCTGGCACTTCTCTTGTAAACTTCATATTGTTGGTGATTGCTCAGCCCTCTATGATATTTCAATGATATTTTGAGCAAAATGCATACGTGCAAGTGTGATCATCACTTACACTTGCAACTTCTTGACCTTCTTTGGGAGAAAACACCAGATCATTAATGTAATCTGAGTGGCCATCAAATGTCTGTCAACCAGAAAAAAAGAAATATTTTTAACTTTGAGCAGACTGTTCCACCATTAGTTAACAATATATTCAACAGAACCACTCAATGAAAGATTTGAGTGTACAATAAAGTTATCATTTCTACATGGAAGGGAAAAATATTCATTAGTAAAACCGGAGATATTTAAAACCTCTAACGCTTGTGTATATTTACACTGTAGGTGAACGGAACCCCACTGCCTCCTTGTCATTACCACAGAGGTCAGCTTGATGCTCTAGTAAGTGGATCACACCACAACTTCTTATTCTTTTTCAACCACTGAATTTTGAAGGTAGAAGATAATAAATCTCAGAAAAAAAGAGGAAATCAACAGGAAGTCAATGTACACATAATTTATATATTTTAAAGAACTCCAATTATTCATAAGTAACTCATCTCTAAACAAGAGTTTTTAATAGGAATTCCTGCAAGCAGCAAGAGGGTTTTTTTTCCTGAAGGAGCAATAAGCCAATCACTTGTCCAGTATATTCCCTTTCCCAAGCAGTCAATATATAAATTCCTCAAGAGCAGATATCCACCAGAGATGGCAAAGGACCAAAAAACTACCTTTAGAATTGTGGTGGTTTTACCGTGCTGGGCAGCTAAACCCCACAACCGCTCTCTCACTCCCCCTCCTTTAGATGAGGAGGGGGAGAAGTAAAGCAAAGAACAACTCACGGGTTGAGATAAGGATAATTTAATTAAAGGGAAACAATTATAATAATTAAATAAAGACTACCATGAACTAAACAATTTAATTAAGGGGAAATAAAAAGGGAAAGGGGAAAAGGGAGGGGAAAAGGAAAAATAAAAAGAAGGGAGGAAAACAAACAAACAAAATAAATGAAGGCTATATGGAAGTGCAGAGGAAAGAAATTACTCTCTACTTCCCACAAATGAGCGATGATTGACCACGTCCTTGAAGCAAGGCCTCAACACACACAGCCAGTGTTGATAGGAGGACCAACATCTTCTCAACGAGAGCCCACCCCTCCCCTCTTCTTCCTGTTTCCACCTTTTATTGCTGAGTGTGACATCACATGGTATGGAATATCCCTTTGATTGCTTTAGGTCAGCTGCCCTAGTGATGTTTCTCCTCCTCACTTTTTGCCCACCCCCTAGGAGGGTTAAAGAAAGGCCCGATGCTGTGCCACTGCTGCTCAGCAGTAGACACAACACTGGTGTGATAACACTGCTGTTCCAGCTACAAGTAGAGTATGGCACTGTATGGGCTGCTGCCAGGAAAGTTAACATTCCAGCCAGACCCAGTACAAGAATAAAAAGTGAAAAAAGTCTCAATGAAACAAGTAACAATGCATGCTGAAGGCTTCATGAAAACTAAAAGTGAGGAACAACAGCACGTGAAAAACAAGCTGGCCGCACAATATCACAGCAGTTAATCACAGTTTCTGTTAAACATTTGAGAGAAACTAACATAGTATTTTATGCTCTTTGCTTTATATACTCTTGTACTGAAGAGTAAGGAAAATTGGGCATAGTGCACACTGTGAAAGTAATAGATCATCCATTTTCAAATAATAGGATATAATTACCCATGGTGTGAATGTACATATGAACTAGCAGTCAAAAGCAAACATTCACAGTTGTATCAGAAAGCATGAAGTCATTTCAAAGGGAACTATTACTATGTAATTGTCCTCAGCTGAAATGTATTAATCATGACATTTTATTTCAAAGTACTGAGAATAATTTATCTATAATGAAAACCAACTTAGTAACATAGCTTCCCTGAACGAGAAGCAGAATCACAGTTTTCAGTAAAAGTTAAAAGGATATTTTTTACATATTCGGAAGGCTTTTCAGCTGTCTTAGCCATAAAATCACAACACCATTTTCTTCTCAATTCCGTTAAGTGTTTTGTACTTATCTACAGATATCAGCAATCTTTTAAGCTTTACAATATCTTCAAACATCTAAATTAAAGATCAAATGCACATTCAGCATTAAGCAAGCAGGCAAAACTCATCTCATTTAAGCTGAGTCTGAAGTACTTTCAACCCTGCTGAAATACTTTTTCAACCCTGCCCAGAGCAGGGGGGTTGAAACTACATGATTTTTAAGGTCCTTTTCAATCCAGGCCATTCTATGATGTTATGATTCAAATTCATTCACATGTTTGTTAGGTATGAGTACATCATCTCTGATCTCATTAGAAAATCTGTAGCTAGTAAGTATCAGTTTGTTCAATCTGAGATTGTGTGTTTTCTCTCACTATGGTCTTTATGCCAAAAAAATCAATTATAATTACTTAAATCACTTAAAATTTGAAGTCAATTATTTGAAGTCCATATGTAGATGCTGGATCTATTACTGTTTCATCCTCTTTACTCTCACTGAATAAGTCACTAGGCATAGATGCTATTGTTTTGCCCAAAGTATCATAAAAAGGACACAAAAATATCCACTGGAGAATGGCATGACATGAAGAGATGGCAAGGAAAAAACAGGTTGAATGAAAACAATCACTTCTCAGCTTTCTGAGAGAACAAAATACTGTTCTCTGTGTTTGTTCCTCAGAACGAGCTATGCAACTGATCAAAAAGAAAAAAATAAATCTGTAAACCATGCACAATAATGAAGCTGCCCCTTTAAAAAGTTATGACTGTTCAATACATCAGTTCAATACAGAACCACTTTCAGCAGCCAAGTTATTTTTTTCCCCCAACAGCCCATAATTTCAATAAAACCTTGTGGATTTCACTAGAACTAATACATCCTAAGATGATGCCAAACTCTTTAGACAGAAATGCAAGTCTTTTGAAAATTTTCAGCATTCAGAATTCAAAAATCCTGCCTCATTTTACATACACAGTTTTGATGAAATATGCTTTTTATTAAGCAAAATCTGAAGCAGGAGAAGAAAGCCACAATTCATTTCCAAATGAAAACCTGAGAACAAGAAAAGATTTCACGAAGATCCATCAACTGTACTTTACCTTTTGTTTCTTGTTCTGGGCTTGATCCAGCCCATAAATTTTGGATTAGTTGTGTTGACAAAGTAATGGAAAACTCAGTATGCTTGAAGTTCCTTGTTGATAATTACATCAAGACAGTTTTTCCACTGGGAAAACAGAGCAAGATTATTCCGTCTATCCCTCCAGAAGCAACACATACTAATTGTTTAATATAAAAGACAAAATGTTCAGAGATTACATTTTGACTGTAATGACATACTTCCCTCAGCTTTTTTGCACATTTTGTACCTCTCTTGAAACCTCACGTGTAAAGTGTGCACTGTACAATGGATCAAAGTCTTCCATGTGTTCATTATGTATTCAACCTTAGGTTCATGAAATAATTTTTCTGAGGTTTTGATTGACTAATACTAAGAAACCATTCTATCAAACTGTTTAGAATTAACTCGGCATAGCTCATAGAATATTTGTGAACCTCTGAGATTTCCAAATACTTTAGATGGGAGTCAGGTGTTATTTTTTTTTTCAATCACAAGAAGTATATAGCTCAATGATCATCCAAGTATAAGAAACTATGATGACTACCTGGAGAAAGTATTTTCTCCACTTTTTGTCAAAGCAACAACAAAAACACACACACACAAAATCAATCAAACAAACAAAAGCCTGGAACGTGCTTAAAGACATTTTTACCAAAGAATCACATAATGTTAGGGATTGGAAGGGACCTTGAAAGATCATCTAGTCCAATCCCCCAATATAAGCACACTATTCCTTTTCACTAATGAGATTCTCACTGTTAGGTAATAATCCACATTTTAGGCTGTTTTCTGATCATTTTAAGAGCAAGCCCGATCCAGTAAAAACAGGAATTTTTACTTCTTCCTCAGTCTCAGTATACCCTTGATGAAGTTCTTAGACTAAGTTCCAGTGGTGAAATTGGCATAAACAGTGCTAATAACTTCATTGCTAAACTGAAGCCAAAACTTCTCATTTGCATAGCATAAGCCCCAAATGGTCTTTAGTATTCTGTTGCGTCAAAAATAAGCCATCTATTGTAGCTTCATCTGGCCACACAGTTGTATTGCCTCTTGTATTAATACATCCTCTATGATCATTACACTCACAACTTGTCATATTTTTTTTTCAGATGTGTTACGTAATTGACATACTTTTGCAGTAGAAGCTTGTAACTGCAGGTCAGCACAGTTTGTGTTAGAAAGAAGTCCTAAGGGTAGAAGAATCAGTTCTCCAAAGAATCTTTTTGTATGAAAAACAATTGCTATCTTAATAGAAATATAAGTGTGGCATTTTAAATTTATTTGTAGGCACCCAGACAAAGCTACTGTGTAATATATTCCGCTAAATTAGAAATACATGTTTTAAAGTTTAATTTGTGTTGGTCACATAGCAGAAAAAAAAACTTGTTAGACCTGGGAAAAACAGTAACCCATCACAGAAATTCTATTTTGAAAAAACAGCATTTTTTCAGAATAGAATAGAATAGTAGCACAGACTGTGCTACAGCATTGCCTCCTTTGCTTCTATGGTTTTAATATTGATCATGCATTGACAGTAAACTACAAAATAACTGTCTCATCAGATATATTCAAAATGATTATTTTAAGTGTGGTTTTTTTTTTTTTGTAATCTTATATAATTCAGTAATAAACAGCCTAATATAATTCTTCATTAGAATAAACTTGCTTATTTAAACTTCTATTTTTAAAAAAGTTTAAGTTCATAATGCATCAAAAATGCATTTGTGTGAAGTTGTAATGCTGAATATTTATCATATGTATTTATTTAACTGGAAGCAATGGGTTCCTATTGAGGAAAACAGCATATCCCATTGAGAATTCCTAGCGTTAGTCTGGAAGGAGTCCTAAATCAATGTGCAACAGTCTGAAAGCTAGTATAGACATGAAGTCTGCTCCGGAATGTATAAAAGAGCACCTTCAGCTAAAGACCAGATGATAAGAGACAGGAGACAAAAAGAGGTATGAAGGCTATGAACTATCACAGCTGTCACTTTTTCACAATTTTTGGCAAAAACACAAAAATTTGTTGGTTGTTAACACCCAATAATTAAAGCTTTCGTATTCATTACATAAGGAAAAAAAACACTCATTCATGCCTTGAACCATGCTGAAATGAAGAGACTTGTCACTGATTTTAGCAGACAGTCCGTCAGGCCCATTGTTAATCCAAAAAAAAAAAAAGAGAGAGACACTAGACAGCTGAATGTAGAGCCTGTGGTACCAGGTTCTTCTATGTGTTTGATTATTTCCACTAATTAACCATTCCATTGTCTATACTGTTATTAATGACTCTACCTATTCTCTTTCTTCCGCGTGCTTATAGACAATTCTATAAATTTCTCGAATTAAAACAGACATACGTAATGAGTAAAGTAACTTTATATTCTGCTAAAAAAGTTAAAAGATTAATTCACACCATCAAAGCTGCTTGTCTACAATATCATAGAACTGACAGATATTATATAAAATGGTAACTTTGGTTAAGGAGTGACACACATCAACTTACAAGCAAACAACGTTAACAATTTCTAGAAATATTTTGCTAGAAGTGCCAGCCAAGCTCTTTGCAACCATGTCAGTTATCCTACTTCCTGGCTGACGAGGCCATACAAGGTGATGGACCAAGCACGAAGGAAGGAAAAAATGGGAAGGTGCATGCATGAAGTAACATAGAACATCTTTTCTGAAATTAAAATACTTTTTATTTTTTAGTAATGTCCATTTTTACTTATATATAGCTTTACTCACTCCATTATTATTTGACCAAGAGTGACATCTGCAATTAATTTACTTTCTGTATGACAAATATTGTCTTACTAATACATACTGCCAAACCACAAAGGAAAGCCAGTTCTTTTCCCCTGCATATTGAATACACAACTCTCAGAGGCATTATCATACTCCAAAGCACTAAAGAAGGAACCCTAACCCCTGATTTTTCAGCATTGATTAGCTTTGCTTGTTCTTGTCTGAAACCTCAACAAAACAAATTCAAACGAACATCTAATTAATATTAATATTTGGACTGGGGTATTGTTTCAAAGGCAAAATTTTGAAGAGTATGTACATACCCAAGTGACGTAGGAGTTACAAAGACAAGAATGCCTTACAAACAACAGAAATCTCTTAGACCCGACACCTCTTAACATCACCGGTGAAAGAACACTACACTGAAAGAACAGGAAGTGAAGACGTATTTGAAGGAGTCATTCCCTTTCTTTTATTTTAGACATAAACAAGTACTGGCCCATGGCCATGTTTTATATAACTGTCTGCAGCTACGTACAAAATTCAATATTCTTTCTTTAAATCTTGTACTGTACAAAATGGTTTCATTGCAACTTTCCTGTTTCCCAAGGAAAGAGACAAAGCATTAAATTTGCTCTCCATAAAGACAAGTCTAATAAACAATACCACATAATATTTTACAGGTCTCTATGTAAAGGAACCTTTTCCAACACAGTACTTCAAATTCACCTGTAGAATATTTTTAGACCATGTTTTAGACCACAAATAAACCTCTACTTACTTTTTGTCAATTTGGCTGTTACATATATACTTTTAAATCAAAATATAATATAGCTGATAATTAGTTATGCCCACTTTAAAGATATAAAGGTATATTCAATACACTGATCTTTGCTAGAGATGATGGGTCTGCCAGAGTTTAGTGTTCTACATCATACTGTACATTAAGAAAAGTGAAGCACAAGCTCAGTGAAAGATTAGACTCCATTAGAGACTAAAGAAATATTCAATATCAGCTCAGTTACCCTTACCTTATATTCATTCTTGTCCTGCAGGTCTGAAGTAAATAGCCTTAACTTCCTATCAGAAGCTGCTGTACAAAACCTACACTCAACAGAAAAAGAAAAGCCCTTCTGTCAGGTAGCACTGCAATTTATTTTTTTTTTAATGTTAAAACAACAACAACAACAACAACAACAAAACAAACAAACAAACAAACAAACAACAACAACAAACAAAACAAAACAAAACAAAACAACAACAACAACAACAAACAGAAAAAAGAACAAACCAAACCAGATCAATCAAGAGTTTCACCCCATTTTAAACCTGCAAAATGACATGCAAAAGGAAATTTAGATTTTCAATCAAACGTATATTCTAATTTTTCTGCTTTGGCATCAACCATTCAGAGTTATAATTGGAACTTGCCTATAAAATACGGTGTATCAAGTGCCAAGAATACTTTTTAATGGAAAGTAATACAAAACATTTGACAAAGCTAAATCTGAATCAACTATGAATTACCTGAAATCTCTCTTATAACTGCCACAGAATTTACCTTGGAGGAAGTGGCTGATAGAAAAAACAGAACCCTCATCATCAGTGTTTTAAATTACCTAGGGATTAATTTATTAACCAGTCTCCAACTTATTTTAAACAAAAGACTGTAAAAATATGCAGCAGTAAGCAACCAGTATAGTTTTGAAGAGGCTTACAAGCAATTGAGAGCATCTGAATTCATGTTAAGTGCATATTTAATAATTGACCATTTTTCTAGACTTACAGCTTGACAGGTCTCACAAATAGCATCCGACTTACTCCTAAACATAGCCCATACTATGGAGAACATCCCGTGTAATTTTACAAAGCAGGCCATGATACTAGTATCATTCTTACAATGATACATACACATTATACAGATACATACAACAAAAAGACTAACTAGATTACAGGTCGATTAAAATCTAAAAATCTAGTGTCCTACTGTGAATCTACTGTGGGGAGGAAAGAGTAAGGGGCTCAGGAAGCAGAACAAAATATATAAGGATGACTAAGAATTAAACTGTTGTTCCAATGGTGTTCACAGACTTCCAACAGCAATTTCTTCAGAGTTAGATTTCAGCTGTAAGCATTAAAGTTAGTTCAATACTAAGGACTTAGAGAAAACAGATATGAGAAAACAGATATGACACAAGGACTCATTATAGTAATTTATTCGAAATACCTTATCTGGGGAGGTAAAGCATCAAGTCTAGTTTCTGGACTCCTTGCTATGGCATCAACACTGATTCCATGACAAAATGTTCGTAGTGTCTAATATAGCATGCCTTCCACTTCTGCATCCTCTTCCTACAGAAATACTGTAGTTAGCTAATTCAGAATAACAGGATTGATGACTTCTAACAAGTCAGATTGATATGAAGTTGAAAGTTAGATGTGTCTGCTGCGATAAAGAAAGTATTTACTTGAAATATGTAAGTAAATAAAAATCCATGAAATGATTGCAGTTCCAAACCAAAGTCAACATAGCAAAAAAACAAACCTACATTGCACAAAAAGATTTGCCAGAGGGACATGCTGAGCCCATTCTTTGGGCTCAATATCAGCATAGATACAACTAGAACCACTGACAACAGCATGATAAGCACACACTGCAATGCAAAATAATGGGAACAAAAGCAAGGAGGCCATGTAGGTTATCTTCTTTCCCAATTGGTTTTACTTTATGGAAAAATGCTAGAACAACCTGGTTGGTCTGGAAGAACAGCAGCAGGTAGAAAGGTACCCTTCATCATTTAACATGACCAAAATTACTACCTTGGCTATTCTTCCCAATAGTGAGGGAACTGGATGGTGACAAAGATGAAACAATTGCTGGGATTGTGGACTTAATGAATCAACTGATCTCCAAAAAGTTCTCAAAACATCCTGCGTAGTACCTCAAAATGTAGGAAGGCTATTTTGATGAAATGTTCTCTATGGCACAATTCTGCTTTAAGGAAAAAAATCTTTCTGTATACACTCTGCATAATGTAGATGCTAGGAAGGACCTAGGTGATTTTCAGAAAATTTCCAACACTAAGACTTTGGGGAATAATAAAGACCAGTTATACTGTTTTCTGTATTAGATAGTAAAGTATAAAAATAGTACCATGTAAAGGAGAAGTGAGCTCAAGAAAAAGAAAGTAAAAATAGATTCCAAAGATGAGAGTGTTCTACTATCAATTTTCAAGCACCCAGGGGAAAAAAAAAAAAAAAAGAAAAAAAAAAAAGTATTACATATAAATATACACAGTATGCTATCTTACTTTTTAAAAATTTTCACGATATTGTGACTGGAAATAATGTCAAGGTAAAAAAAAACATATTTTACTGTTTCTAACAGTCTGTCAGAGAGATGTAAAATAATAACCTAGAAAGCAGATGTATATTAAGTAACTATTTGCCATTGTCCTTCCTTGAAAGAAATGTCTCTAAACTTACTTTGGAAATTTTAATTATTCCTTTCTTATTTCGGGTATTTGAAAATCTTTGCTGCTTTGATAGCTACCTGAAAGCCTTAAAAAAATAGAACACCATACAGCAAATGTTAAGTTACATATTTCCAAAGCTAACTGCTTAAGTTCCCAGGTAGTAGTCACAAACATTTGCAAGAAATACTGAACTGGGATTACTCTTCCAGTAGAGCACTCCTGTTTTCATTGCAGTCTACTCAAAAAGAACTTTACACCAGCAGGATGCTAATACCATTATGTATTTATATATACATTTTTTTCTCTTTAAGACCAAATATCCCAAAGTCATTAACGTAATAAAGGAGTAAAACACTTCCTGGCAAAATGGGGAAGGAAAGACGCAGGAAAGTGACTTTAGTCTTTGTCAGAAGACATGCTGTCAGTTTCAGGAAGCAACTAATAAAAGCAATAAACAAAAACTAACCTGAAATCTATGTGTCCCTGCAACTACATAGTTATTGTCACCATATGCAATGAGGGAACATGCACCTCCACTATTAAATGGATTGAATTTTATCACATGCACATAATCTTCACAGTCCACAATGTAAGCAGCATTTCTAGTAGACTCTTGCTTCATTTCCAGGGGACTATGTCAAAGTATCGTGGAAGTGATGTCTTCTTCAGGATGGAGGTCAATGTTCCTATAGCGAAAGTATTAAAAAGCATGCATTATGTATTTGCATAAAGAAAAAAAAGTATTTGTGGCGCAACAAATCAAGATTTCTTGTAACACCATATTTATGGACACAAAAGGTCAACTTAAGCTCATTAGATCCAGATTTAACACCTAATTCCAACTATCAAGAGATTAACTAACCTAACTGACCTAATTCACTAACAGGCATTCAAAACTTTTTCTACAGACATCAGTAACAACTGCAGGTTTTGTGCTACTGATGGCAACCTATCAAGACATGGGATTAAGTAACTCTACGTACCAGAAAAGTCACCCACGTAATTTTAAAAATTTCAACCAAATGACAACAACATATCTATTATTACCTTCAAATTCTCTTCCCTGGTGTACCTCTTTAAAGGACAATAGGTATCTAACTAAAAGCAGAATTAAAACCACCAAACTCTAAATGCAAACACGATTCTGCAGATTACTTGTCTCATGGCATAAGCCAGCCCAACTGCAGACAGTGCCTCTATGCCTCTGTACTTGCACAGAAAAAGTTCATTTTCAACTGGATCAAAAGTATACCTAACATTAATGCTTTACTCCATTCAAGCACTTTCCAAGAAAATCAGACTCCTGTGCTTGCACACAGGATGCTGAGATACACAACTGATTTGGGGATCATCCCTGATTTGACATCAGCGTACACCTTTTGAGAAATGACCATGTTCTCCACGTGCAGCATGGAAAGATAGCTTCCAACTTCAGACCCTTGTCATATTTTGTTGCGTTAATGACCTGAAGGGCTCAGCACCGAGGCTGAACATCATGCCTGGGAGCCACCACAGTTTGATGGCGCTATCAGCGGGACTCAAAGAGGCTCTCCACGTTGGTAGCAGTGCATTTATTAACCAACACAACAAACCACCACGGTGACAGAAGGACGTTAGCCACATAACTCGCATCGCCACGCTCCTAAGGCCAAACACAACTCCTCGCCACCTCGAAGGCTCCCCACCACGGCAGACCCCATGCCTTGGGGCAGCACCAGGGGGACAACCCGGCCGTGCGGCTCAGCCCCCCTCCCCGCACCCTTCACCTTCCCGCTCCCTCCTTTTCCCTTGGGGGCCCAGCAGCTGCCCCAAAGGAGCCCACACCACACCTTGCGGCCCCACAACGCTACCCCCTTTTGGGACCAGATGACCCTTGAGGTCTCTTCCGACCCGAACGACTGAGGACTCTAATTAGCAGAAGCCCCCCCCATTCCCAGAGCCCCCCCATTCCCTGACACGGCCCCTCCAGAAGCCACGGGCAGCCATCTCCCCTCAGCCCCTCGGTGCTCCAGGAGGGAGCACAAAATGGCCTCCCTCCCTCAGGGCCCCTCAGCCTCCGTCCTGGGGCTGCGCCGGGAGGGGGGGGGGGTGAGGCTGGGCCCCCTTTTGGGGTCTTCTTGACCAACAAAATGGAAATGTTGAAGGACTGGGGTGGAAAAGGGGATTTTGTGGTTTTACAGCATGCGGGAACGTGCAAAATGTCAAGAAGTTGCATGGAAAAAGGAGGGATCACACCCCAGCCCTGTATGGAGAGAATAAAGTTTTAGTTTGGTATATTTTGTTTTGAGACGATAAAGTTTTGAGAAGACATCCTTTTATTTCGGTCAAGATTGATTTTGGGAAAATCCAGCCTTTTCAGCCCAAAATCTCCCTTGGAGGTCAGAAAACCCCCTTAGACTGTGCCCGGAGCAGTTTAAAAGGTTTAGGGCTGCGCTTTCATGAGGCACTGCTCCAAATTACATGGAGAGATCTTTCCAACCTTCAAGATTTTAGAATTCCAGGCTCAAAAAACTCGTTTAACATCCAAACACCACTTTATTAAACCCAGTCCTCCCTTTCCAGGACCCCAAAACCTCACTGCATGATTAAACCTCCTTTTTCACACCAAATCCCATTTCTCAGTGCGAGGGGACCCGGTTTTTAGGGTCCGAAGCCTCATTTGTGGGTTTCAAAACCTTTTCTTTCAATTCTAAGCCCATTTCTGAGGGCTTAATGGGGAAACCCTGCACCCCATGGGGGGGATTCTGCTGCGTCAGGAGGCTTGGGGGAGATTGAGGGGTTTTGGGGTGTTCCGGGAGGCTGACGAGGCCGTGAGGTGGTGGGGCTGAGGCTGGGCCCCCATTTTGGGGTCCCGTATCCGGGTGGTGCCGTTGCCAGGGTCCCTTTGTGACGTAGGGGGGGGTCCCTTTGTGACATAGGGGGGGTCCCTTTGTGACGTAGGGGGGGTCTCACTTTAAAAGCCGTGGCAGCGGCTCCGTGCCCTCATTGCCTGTCAGGACAGGGCAGGAGCGAGAAGGAGCGAGCCGGAGCGCCCTGAGAGCGTTGCTTGATCGCGTCCCTTCGCGCCCACCCCCCCTTGAGAGCCATGTCAGGCAAACCCCCCCGTCGGCCTCGCGTGGCCTGGGTGGACAGCTGGGCCACCCCCATTGACGAGTCCTCCTACATCACGCCCGAGGATGAGGAGGAGGAAGAGGTGGCGGTGCCGCGCGGCCGTGAGTGCAGGACCCCCTCCCTTTCACAAAGGCACCCGGCTCCCCCCCACCCCCCGGGGGGGTCGCCAGCACCCCCCCTGATCGCCCCCCTTGCTCTCTGCCCGCAGCCTTCGACGACCTGGAGGTGTACGTGCTGGAGGAGGAGGCCGTGCACACCATCGACGAGTTTGTCAAGACCTGGATGGAGGTAAAAGCTGGGTGCTGGGGGGCTGTGTGTGGGGTGGGGGGGGGTGCTCCCAGCTCTGGGGGCCCCCCCTGACCGCTGGGGGTTTGTGGCGTAGATCCCGCAGGGCGAGGAGCAGAAGATGAAGTTCCTGGAGAGCATCTGCAGCGTCTGCACCACCGCCCGCGAGTCGGGGCTGTCCGGCGGCTTCGCCGACTTCTGCAACCGCTGCAACTTGTGCAGACATCTGCAGGTGAGCTGGGGGGGGTGAGACAAGGCGGGGGGGCACCCGAGGGGACCGCCGCACCCTTGGGTGCCAGCTCCCACCCCCTCTCTCTCTCCCCCCGCAGCGGCTGATAGAGAAGGAGCCCCTGGACCAGCTGGAGACGGCAGTGCGGGAGCAGGCCATGCTGGCTGTTGCTGCCCTCAGGTAGGCGCAGGGCGCCAAGGGGGGGGATTTTGGGGACGGAGGGGGGATTTTGGGGACAGAGGGGGGATTTTGGGGTTGGGAGGGGGATTCTGGGGAGGGCCTGGCCCTGGGGGCCACGCCTCAGCCCCTCTGTGCCCCCCCCCGCAGCTCGCTGCAGGTGATCTCTGAGGACAGCATGCAGCGGCTGCTCACCGCCTGCTTCAGGAGCGTCTTCATGCTGCCCCCCAAGGAGAAGCTCAGCGCGCGCAACTTCGTCATGGTGGGTGCTGCGCCCCCTCCTCGTGCCCCCCCCCATGCAGGGTGTGTGTGTGGGGGTCCCCGGGGTCCTTCCCAGGGGCTCACCCGTTGGTTTCCCCCCCCCACAGACGATGCACGCCATGGACAGCATGCTGCAGCTGCTGCTGCTCAGCCCGCCCACCACCAGCTTCCCCTCCAAGCTGCAGAGCATCGTGAAGGTCTGGCTCGTGCCGGGGGGGCTTCTCCTCACCTGGGGGGGGTCTCCTCACCTGGGGAGGGTTCTCCTCACCTGGGGAGGTTGTCATCACCTGGGGGGGGTCTCATCACCTGGGGGCGGGTCTCCTTATCTGGGGGGTTCTCGTCACCTGGGGGGGGTCGCATCACCCCGGGGGGCTTCTCATCATCCTGAGGGTCTCCCCACCCCCCCAAGTTGCCCCCCTGCTTTCTGAGGGTCTCCCCAGCCCCCCAAGTTGCCCCCCTGCTTTCCGAGGGTCTCCCCAGCCCCCCGAGGGTCCCCCCCCCGACCCCCCAGCCCTCATCTCCCGTCGTGTCCCCGCAGGCACTGCTGCGTTTCTGCACCTCGACCAGCGCGCTGCCCCGCCGCCGCGCCATGATGCGGCTCCACAAGATCGGCGACTTCCTGGGCAAGTGCTCCTCGCTGGAGGTCAGTGGCTTCTCCCCTTTCCCCGTGCCCCTCCCCGCAGCCCCGTGGCCCCCCCTGGCTGAGCTGTGTCCCCCCCTTTTCGCAGCCCTTCGGCAGGTACCTGCTGGAGCAGCAGCGCACGGACCTGATGCTGACCTGCCTGGAGGTGGTGTCACATGAGGTGCCTGAGGAGGACGAGCAGTGGGTCTCCTTCTTGCTGAACGCGGCGCGGGAGGACCCCATCAGCTGGTTTGCGTCGGTGAGTGCCCCCCCAAACCCTAAACGAGGCCGGGGAAGGAGAGGAGAGGCCACTTCTCACCCCCCGTGTGTGTGTGTGTTTGTCCTCTTTGCCGCCAGGTCCCGCACTTCGTCATCTTCTTCCGCAAGAAGCTGGTGGAGGAGCTGACGCCCGCCGTGCGCCAGAAGCTGCTGGAGGTGCTGGTCCTCATGACACGGTGCTATCCCCACTCCGTCACCATGTCCATACTCTTCATCTGCCCCTCAAGACTGAGGTACCGGCCCCCCAGCCTCCCGAAAACCCCACAGGGCCCCCGACACCCCGCAGGGCCCCTCAACAGCCCCTGTCTGTGCCCGCAGATCCTCAATGGAGATGTGGGAGGAGATTTTCAGCACGCCCGGCATGCCGAAGAAGCTCCTGAACGAGATTTGCATGCTGCTGCGCGACAATACCATACGTGCGCACTTTGGGATGACCGAGGACTACGAAATCCTCCAGCTCGGCCTCATGCAGACCCTGAGCCCCGAGGACCCCATCCCCGCCGTGCTACAGGACGTGGAGTGCCTGAAGAGATGCATCAGGAACACCAACTTCCACCTGCTCTGGATCGCACTCAAAGGGCTGGCGGCGATGCTGGAGAGGCCCAAGATGGTGAGCGCACCCCCCCACACCCTCCCCCACACACCCTGCCCTTCCCCATCCCCATCCCCATCCCCATCCCCATCCCCATCCCCATCCCCATCCCCATCCCCATCCCCATCCCCATCCCCATCCCCATCCCCGGCGGCCTCCTCACGCCCTGGGCTCGCTGCTGTCATTGCAGGGGCTAACGGGGATTATCCTGCTGCCCGACGTCCTGAAAACCCTGCGGTTCGGCAACCCCCACATCACGGCGGCGGCGCTGGCGGTGTGCTGCAGGGTCCTGCGCGCCCTGATGAAGAAGTCGGCCAGCATCACTTCCCTGCGGCTGGTCGATCTGCTCACGCCTTACTTGGACAACGTAAGGGGGGGGGCGAGGCTCCTGCGGCACCCACCCCGTGCCACGGCTGGGCGGGCGAGGATCACTCAGCCTCCGTCCTCCTCTTCCTCTTCCAGGAGGCCGACATGGTGCGGGAGAATGCCATGAAGCTCTTCAGCGCGTGCATGGAGCGCGTGCTGTGGAAGCACCGCAGAAAGATGTGGAAGAAAGTGCACAACGTCCTGCTGACCCTCTACCTCCGCATGAGCGAGGAGAACCCGAGCGTGGCCAAGGTGAGTGGCGCCCATGGGGTGGGGGGGGGCTCGCGGCAGGGCCGGAGGCAGGCGGCGAGGAGCCGGCGCCAATTCCCTGCCTCCGCTGCCCCGCAGGCTGCCCAGGAAGCCCTGATGGCCGGGTCCGAGCTGCTGTGGTGGGACGAGCTGCAAGAAGTGGCACATATGAACCAGACCTGGAGGATCAGAGCCTGCCTGGTGAGGGCGGCCTCCGCGCTGAGGCTGGAAGGGGGGTGGCCGGGGGGAAAGGAACGAGGCCGGGGGAGGCTGACGGAGCCCCGCGGCCTCTCCAGCTTCAGCAGGACCGAAAACGGGTGGAGGAGCGTCTGCAGAGGTGCCGGGCCTACCTGTCGGACCCCCAGGCGTCAGTGCGCAAGGAGGCTGTCAGATTCATCGGTGAGCTGCCCCCCGCCTGTCCCCCCCTGCCCCCACAATGGCCCCGGGGCCTCCCCTCGCCCTCCCTGGGGCGGAGGCTGACGGGCGGCTTCTGATCCTAGGGCTCGCGGCAGAACATCACCGGGACCAGAGTGAAGAGAAAGTGTACGAAATAATTGCAAGTGAGTGAGGGGGGACGGGGTGGAGGCCAGGCCTCGGGGAGGCTGGGGGGGGGTGCTCACAGCAGCTCTCCCTGCCTTCCTCCCGGCCAGGGGGCTCCTGGAGGGGTCTCCCCCTGGCCCAAGCAGAGGCTGCAGCCTCTTTCTGTCCTCCCGCAGTCCTGGAGCCCATGGTGAACGACGTGGAGCCCTCGGTGCGTGAAGAGACCGCCCGCACCATCCGGACTGTGAGGCAGCATCTCCACTGGCTGCAACGCCCGCGGGATCCGTGGTACATGCTGGCGGTGCACTGCTGCTTGCCTCGAAGATTGTGGCAGGCGCCGAAGCAGAAGCCAGAGCCAGAGCCCGAGCCCCAGAAGAATCCGGAAGAAACTTCAGAATCTGAAGACTCCTCCCTGGATTCATCTCCGTGCCAGAGCACGGACAGCTAGCGGGCCTCCAGCCCACAGGGGTTTTGGATGCCTCCAGGAAAGGAGCCTCCAGAACCCCCCCCCCACCACCACAAAGAAATTAAAGAAATTCCATCTGTTTATCCAGAGCCTCCTGGGGTCACTCCTCAGCGTCCTCCACAGCCCCCGGCATCCTCCCAGCTCCGCACCCACCTCCCTCGAGCAGCTCCCGTCCTCCCGGAGCTCAGGGCCCAGACCGGGACGCCATATCCCCCTCACAGCCCCACAGGGGCAGAGTAGAGGAGGACGAGGACCTCTCCCCACCTCCTGAGCACCCCCAGGAGGAGGAAGGCCCCGCTGCTCTCCTTCCTCACCTTGCTGCCTGCTGGGACGCTGCGAGCTCGGGAGGAGCCATCCCCGAATCCCTCCCGACTCCCCCGACCCCCTTGTCCTTCGAGCGCCTCGTCCCACAGCCTCGTGTTCACGGACCCCATTCTTCAATTCCGTCCCAGGACGTGGTCAGGGAGTCGCAGGGAGCCAGGAGGTCTCCCCGGAGCCTTCTCCAGACCAAACAAAGCCCGGTTCCCTTGGCTGCTCCTCACAGGACATGTTCCAGAACCTTCCCCGGCTCTGTTGCCATGCTCTGGGCATGCTGCGGGGGCTCCATGTCCTTCTGGGAGCGAGGGGCCCAAAGCTGAACGTGGTGCTCCTAGGCAGGACGCGGTGTCACCTGCAAACCTCCTGAGGGCAATTCCCTCAATTCCCTCATCAAAACAGTTAATGAAGGTCTTAACGAGGATGGGCCCCAGCACTGGGCAAACACCACTGCCGACCAGCTCGATTTCACCACCGCTCTCTGGGCCTGGCCACCTGGCCAGTTTTGAACCACATTTTGAAAGAAAAACATGCTTTTTTTTGGTGAAGCGGGTACTTGTCACAGCCCTGGGCTGCAGCTTCTCCAGGAGAATACTGGGGCAGGCCGCACCAAAGGCTAAGCAGAGGGCATCAGCAGCCCTTCCCTCAGCCAGCAGGGACACGGATTGGACTAGATGATCTTCTGAGGCCCCTCCCGATCCCCCAAATTCTGTCATTCTGTGACATTTTGCCATTCTGTGTCAGTCGGTGGCAGCCGGGCCCTGGCGGCTCCATCAGCTGCCTCAAGCGGCCTCGCTGCAGGAAAAGCCCCGCACGCCTCGATCCCCCGCTCTGCGGCATTACACAACTGCCTGGGAGGGTAATTGGGGTGGGGAGAGGGTAATTAAGGGGGTGCTAATTGGGGGGGGGGGCGGTATTTAATTTATTCTCGCCTCACAAAAATAAGATTTAGTAATCTCTCCACAAATATCCCTTTTACATCCCAAGGCAAAATAGTAACACCATTAAAACACGATGATTTTACATTAACTTCAAATAAGCTAAAGACTTTCAACACCTCACCAGCACCAGCTTGGATTCACTAATTTTTCCCTGTTGGTTCCCTGGGATTTCAATAACAGAAGTCCCACTGATTAAAGTTTTCAGGTTTATATTAAATTACAATGCAGCTCTACCCTTATATCCAAAAATATAAAATTAGAATTACTTATATTGCAGTTCAGGATCCTATAAGAACAAAATTCTCAGAATTTAAGAATTGATAGTTTTGTCATAAGCAAAGAAAGCAAAGACAAGAAAAGGCCATTAAGAAAAGGAAAGATATAAAGCTTTGGTAGCTGTGGAATTTCTTCTTATTCAACAGGAAATATGACAAACGTAAGCAGTCAAAAAGAAGGGGCCAAGAATATTTTTATCATACATGTCACAATCAGAGCACCAAGTGAACCTATTGGTAGAAGTGCTATCTAGGGCATAAAGTCAGTAACAAAGAGAAAAGCACCCAAGTGCTTTTTACTGAAACACTCTTATCCTGATGTCAGATTGCTGGGAAGATGCTTGCTCACTTGTTGGGAACTATGTTGAGTTGTACCCAAATATTGTACTGAAACTGACACTCAAGGAGGAAAGCAAGCTTGGAAATTACTTAAGCTTCACCATTTCAAACACTGTTAGACTGATACTGTTTAGGTGGTTGAATCCAGTATCCCCACAAAGTCCTCAGTTGTCTACTGCAACAGATCGGCATTGTCTGCATTTCTACAGCTACCACTACAGTTGGTGCTCAGATTTCTTCTGAAAGTAAATAAGCGTTACTTAAGTTGAAAAGTTAAACCTAAATTTCTCTCTTACCATTTCACTTTGCAGCATCAGGCAAATTCTTTAACTCTCAGTCAAGACAATATTTGAATGATAATATACTTGCAAAAAATATGTATTCCCTACTGTTTAAAGGCAGATTAAATCTACGTCAAGTCCCTGCCATAAAAGGACTGTCTCCCAGGGAATAAATTTGTGCACTTGCCCCATGCACACGCTCATACCAAAGAGATACAGAGCTTGAATATACTTTAAAAAAACAATATCTTAATAGAAATAACTGGAAAAGGAAACCTGTATTTCATCTTCCATTAAATTTTCCATATCTAAAAAGCATTGAAAAAGAATTTATTATATTTATATACATATATATATGTATATATATATATTTTTTTACCTTTGCATTGCTCTGGTCCTGTGAAGGCACACAGCCTCTATTTTCTGGTACATTCATTATGCCAGTAATAAATTCTGGCAGTTGAACCTTTAATAAAAAGAATTGAATAAATTTAAATACAAAGATGACTGAAACACAAAAGTAGTACTAACACCAAGTAAAGCTACGATTTTCTCCAGCTTGCTAATGTTTTGAACACCAAAAGCTACTTTTTCTTTAGTCTTTAGAAATACAACTGTTCTAAGAGAGAAATGACATGTAAGACTCAAATTAACTCAGGACAACCTTTACAGTTACTGCCCTAAAAGCAGCTGCCTTTTTTTTTTTTTAAAAAAAAAATGGCCTCATGTGTAGTGTTTTTTTTTTAAAAAAAAAAAAAAAGTTAAGAAAAGCAATTGCATCTTCCTGAATTTTAGTCCTCCTTTATGTCTTTTGTAGAACTGTTTGAGTGCAGATTCTCTAAACTTAAGTAGGCAAGTTTGTTACAAGCATACCTGTCAGACTCATACAACAATTTAGGTTAGAAGGGATCTTTTGAGATCACCTAGTCCAGTTACTTGCTTGAAGCAAGACAAGTTAGACCAAGTTGCTCAGTGATGTCTTATCCCTACAAGACATATCCCTTACCCCAAGCCAAGGTTAATATCTCTAAAGGCAAGATTCCACATCTTCTCCGGGCAACCTGTTCCAGTGTTTGACTACTTTTTCATGGACACAGCTTTATTCCCAACTCAGGAGGAAGAGTTACTCCAAGCAATTGAAATATCCTGTCCTTTACTGACTAATTTTTCCTCTAATAATGCATGTTATCTTCCTGCAAGCAGACAGATAACTCCTCTCTGTAATTTTTGTTACAAGCTCGAAATAGGTGCAGCTAATTCCAATGTTTACTATTTTTTCATTATAAGTTTCCTTTGTCTTTTAATCTTCCCATGCTCTAGAGAGCACAGAATCAAATACAATCATGTGGCATGCTTGTATTTTAAACTTCCTTTAATTGCTACTAATATACAACCATCAGACCCAGCAACACGGGTTCAGGAAAGTCCATCTCACTAATTTGATATCCTTTTATGATAAGATCACACTCTTAGTAGAGGAAGGGAAAGCAGTGGATGTAGTTTTCCTGGATTTTCACATGGTTTTTGATTTTGTCCCTCATGGTCCTTCTAGACAGATTGCCTAACTGTGAGGAAAACAGACTCACAGTAGGACATTTGGACTCAATTTTTGCAGGTCCCTTCCAACTGCATCCATCTTATTCTGATCTTTGTTACCAGATCAAAATATACAACCAAATTTTTGTTATTTCCATAGTCAGACTGCAATATGTACTACAACTTCTCTAGCCTGGAGCATGGCCTCATGTGTAGCGTTATAACATCTGAAGCACAAGAAACTGCAACAGATGCTTGACTGAGTAGCTGAAGTGGAACCTCTTGCGGTCTCTGGAAAAATCTAACATGAAGATACATGAAGAATATGGAGATCTTTTTTTGCCATTAAGAGCGAGGTATTTTTCAAAATGAAAACCAAAACTATTTGGACTGCCTATCAACATATATCCAAAACTCCATGACACATTAATCACTAAGCTTTGATCCATCTACATCAAGTCTCTACAATTCAGTTTTCAGTTCTGTTTGTGAGAAAGAACAAGATACTCAGTGGAGCTGTGATCTACCCATCCAGCAAGACAGCAGAAATATGCAATTTTTGAATGGATCTAAGATCTCTTAAAGATTTAATAATTTAAAGTCATCTGTTCCTCCAGAGAAAAGGAAAGTCATTTGTGACTAATTCAAGACTTCCGTATATATTTTAGATGCACTGTAAATCCATAACTGGAATCAGAAATATGGTAAAACAGAGATCAAACAAACAAAATACTTACAGGGGCTATGCTTTCCTCTTCAGATACAAGTGCAAGAGCATAGCACTTCTGACATATATCTATGATATCTAACATATTGCTGCTTGCTAAGAAGGTATCTGTTAGAGGATGCACGGCCGAAAGCACGACAGACACCAGTAGAGTCAGATCATGCTGCTCCCATTTATTGCCCGAATAGCCTCGCTTTTATAGTGAACTTAACAGGGGCGGATAGTGTCTCACACAAGATTATTGGTCAAAAGCACTCGGACAAACAACTACAAGAAAACAACCCCACCTGCAAGAAAACAACCCCCTTGTGATTAGCAGTCACATAGACCTTGTCCTTGAAGCCAGCTACTGGTAACAATATTTTTCTGAATTCCTCAATTGGGCGATGTGGGAACACTGTCATGGGAACTTCTCATAGTTGCCCTGGTAGCTTGGTTTGCTCAGCTACAGCAGGCCATGAGATTTTCTAAGGCCTACTCCTGGTTGCTTAAGGCAAGCTCAGATCGAACAATTGTTCCACGGACTCACGTCCACGCCCTGTATGCCAATTCCCAATTCCCAACAGGT